GGAAAATTTAAAAGTATTGAATCGTGCAATTGACTTAAAATGCGTCTTTTGGGATACTGCAGTAAGGATAATTTTTAATTTTGCTATCTAGTTACCTACATTAAAAAATTGTACTCTGCGTAGAATAAATATTTATTAGCCTGATGTAAAGTAAAATTTTTTAATGTAAATATTGGATAACACTTCATATGATACTATATATAATTTAATTTATTTTCTCTCGAACCATCAAGAACATATATGGATCTGGAGACAACGAGATATTACTTTCAAAAGTTCTTAAAGATCGACATAATGAAGTTTTTCTTTGTACAAAATTTGGTTATGTTCGCACAGAAGATGGGAAGTTTGTGGGAGTAAATGGGAAGCCAGAGTATGTTCACGAAGAATGCGAAAAAAGTTTACAAAGATTAGGTGTTGATTATATTGATCTTTATTATCAACATCGTGTCGACCCTAACGTGTAAATAGATTCTTTTACATTAATACTATTGATTAATACAGCAACAATAATAATAATGACATAATGATGGTAATAATCTATACTGTATTGATAAACAGACCGATTGAAGATACTGTTAAAGCTATGGCTGAACTTGTTGAAAAGGGCAAAGTTAAATATCTTGGACTTTCCGAATGTTCGGCTAATACGCTTCGACGAGCTTGCAAAGTTCATCCAATCGCTGCTGTTCAGGTATGTAATTTTTTTTAACATATTATAAATTAGCATAATATAATTAGTGAATAGGTGTTATCTTTACATTATGTGTTATATTATTATATAGGTAGAATATAGTCCGTGGTCTCTTGACATTGAAGAAAATGGACTTAAAAAAGCTTGTGAAGAACTTGGCGTTACAATTGTTGCGTATTGTCCATTAGGGCGTGGTCTTTTATCGGTATGCTTTTTATTATATTATATTATTATTATTATTATTTTGCAGAAAAATCATTACATAACGCAGATGTTATCAATTACAAATATATAGGGAAAATATAAATCCCCAGAAGATTTTGAGCCTGGGGATTTTCGTAGAACACAACCCCGTTTTGTAGGTGAAAATTTTGCAAAAAATTTAGAGCTCGTAAAAGAAATTGAAAAGTTGGCCAAAAAGAAAGGTGTTACTGCTAGTCAACTTTGTTTGGCATGGATTTTGGCTCAGGTATGTATCGAACCCTATATTAATCATGAGTTAAATTATTTTATAATTAATCATTTTGATTTCTATTAAATCAGGGTGAAAACATTGTTACAATTCCCGGTACTAAAAAAGTGAAATACTTGGAAGAAAATATTCAAGCCACTAGTGTTAATTTGACCTTTGAAGAATTATCCGAAATTCGAAAAATTATTAATTCTATTGAGATCGCCGGAGGTCGAGATCATGAAAGTGCATTAAAGGTAATGTATCTTTCGGAAAAATTTTCGGATATTCCACTTTACGTATATAGTAGTCTGTTTAATTCCATAAAAAAATTAATAATTTATTCACGAATGATAATTTAACATGTGTTGCGCTTATCTATTTCAATTTATTAGTGTATGAATTTATAATTACAGTCAGACCTCGTTATAGTCACTCTTGATATAGTCACAACCTTGTTATAGTCACGCTATTTCTTAATCCTAGAC